AAAAAAAAAAAAAAATTTTACATTTGGGGGTCATAATATATCATTAATATATGATCACTAAAGATCATTAATATATACCTAAAGAAAAAATAACAGAACAAAAAAAATTATCATAGCAGCAACATAATCCAACACACCAGATTTATTGGTAAATGAAGCCCTATTCATATATCTAGTATCATAACCATAAATATCAATCCTACATTTCATTTAACATTGATACTAAAGCACAAATTACAACATAAAATAAATGTAAATCAATTTCTACACAGATAGTTGCATTATTTGTTGATCTTTTGGAGTTGATTCGCATTTCTTTTATGTCATGTTTGCCTTCACTATTGGTATCTACTGTCCGGTGTGCTTGTGACTCAATGCAAGGCCTTCAGAATTGATTTGTTGTCAACCACCATAAACAAAGGTCTGCTGGCTTAATTTCCAGTGAAAATGGTTTTGTTCTAGGTTTATTTTGCATTAAAATAATTTATAAATATTTCTAGAGATAAGCATAGTAATTTTATAATTTAAGAAATGAATCTGGTGTCCATTATGTATGCTGAGAAAGATATACAGAATGAGATGTATTATATCTAATACTTTTGCTTTAGATTGAAATAATTTCATCTTACTTTCAGCAATAATAATAATAGTAATAGTAATAATAGTATATGATGATAGACATATAAATCAATAGATCAACTGAGAGTCCAGAAATAAACACTCATATTTATGGTCAACTGATTTTCAACAAGAGTACTAAGATATTCAATGGAAAAAGGATGAAAGAATAACCTTTTCAACAAATGGTACTTAAACAATGGAAATCTAGCCAGGCATAGTGGCTCACACCTGTAATCCTAGCACTTGGGGAGGCTGAGGTGGGTGGATTGCCTGAGCTTAGGAGTTCCAGGCCAGCCTGAACAAAAGCAAGACCCCATCTCTACTTAAAAAAAGAAAAAGAAAACTAACCAGGCATTGTGGTGGTTGCCTGTGGTCCCAGCTATTTGGGAGGCTGAGGCAAGAGGATTACCGGAGCCCAAAAGTCTGAGGTTGTTGTGAGCTTTATCTGACACCATGGCACTCTACCCAGGGTGACAGAGGGAGACAATGTCTCAAAAAGATAAAAAAAAGTACTAAATGAATGAATAAAATATCATTAAAAAACAATGGACATCCACATGTACACAAATTAACTCAAAATGGATCAAAGACTTAAATGTTATGAGCTATAGCTATAAAATGCTTAGAAGAAAACATAAAGAGTGTATCTTTATAACCTTGAATTAGACAATGGTTTCTTAAACCCAGTATCAAAAGCACAAGCAACTAAAGAAAATACAGAAAACTAGATATAATCAAAACACCTCCCATAGAGCCCAACTCCAACATTGCGGATTACATTTCAGCATGAGACTTCATAGAACACTGTCAAAAAAGTGAAAAGACTACTCACAAAATGAAAGAAAACACAGGCATTCCTTCTTTTACTGGGCTTCACTTTATTGTGCTTTCTAGGTACTGTGTCTTTTACAAATTTAAAGTCTGTGGCAATCCTCTGTTGAACAAATCTATCAGCACAACTTTCCAACAGCATGTGCTCACTTCCTGTCTCTGTGTCACACAGGTAAATCTCAAACTTTTTCAACAAACTGAGTAAAAAAAGGAACATAACTCAAAATAATAAAGGCCATATATAACAGAGCCACACTTAACATTATACAAATGGAGAAAAACTGAAAGTCTTTCCTCTAAGTTTGGAACAAGACAAGATGCTTGCTCTCGCCACTTTTATTCAATATAATAATACTGGAAGTCCAAG